TAATTACATATTCATAACACAAGATTTTAAGGGAGAGGATGAAGAAAACAATCACAAAAGAAACGGCACCAAACAGGACAGACATAGAATTTGATTTTGCAAAGGGTGTGTTTTGGTTTTGCAACATAAATCACCAAACCACAATGGTTGTTATTTTGGACTGTCAGCCTGCAGCAAGCAGCTAATGCCATCAAAACTTCTTAAGGAGAATAACCACAGAATGAATGGAGAACAGCATCCAAATTTAACTCACGGCAAAAAATGCAGCAAGGCTGTGGTTTGACTACAGGTCAAAACTAGCAGACAGAAACAAGAAAACAACAATTACTCTTATAAATGCTGAAAGACCAGAACTAGCTGAGGTGCTAACTGTGCCCTCCACAGTTGCAGACTGACAGGTACAGGGATCTAATGGTTAAAGAGGAGGGGTTAAAAGAAAGCACGTCTTCAGACATCATTAGGCTGTATTTACAGCTTTTTCTAAAAATACTTCAAAAAAATCTTCACAGGAAGTTGTGAACCAAATGTCAAGAGGCAAATCTCACTCAAATTTTGTCAGGCTACATGACCTGCAACAGACAGTATGCATTTGAATGCAAGCAGTGACCTGGGGTCTGCTTGTGTTTGTTTGTCCTCTCTCCCAGCCATGTAATGTGGGTGTGGCATCCAGAACATGCTTCAGAAGAATGGGATAGGCACAGTCGAACAGAATAATAAAACAACAATAGCTTGATTTTATTTGCCAAGGGACAGATGAAATCATATTCTCTTACTTATTGCTCATAACTGCATGCTTCAGACCTTAGTTACGATACTGCTGCAGTAGGCGGTGCTGAATATTTTATCAGTGGTGGGCTAGAAAACATGGAGTTGAGGACATCAGTTTGGAAACAGCGCAGCACAGACAGAATTAAAAATTCAGCTCACCACCTGCCCATCTGACTGATGCACAAAGCTCTGACGTAGCTTCTGATTCAAGAAGCTGTGCCTGCTGTGCCACTCCCAGCAATAAATTGCCTTTTACATACATGGATAAGCAGTCTAATCAAATAAGGATTTAAAGCAGGATGTGCTCAAAGGAACTGCTGATTTCCTTAGAACCTGCCATTGCTCTCTCTGAGCTTTTGTATGTATTAAACAGTGTATGAGATTTATCAGAGGAAAAAGAGAGTACAAATACCAAAGTAACCAAATAACCTGTGCAAATAAATACCTCTTCTCAGATTTTCTGTGCCACTCTCCGATTCACGGTGCATACACCACTTAACAACACAAACTGTATCAGTTGCCGAGAGTGACCTGGTTTGTAGCACATTTGCATCACTGCCCCTTGAGAAATCATTCGCAGTCAGAATGCCAAATGGTCTCCTACACAAACGACCTGCTTATGCTTTCCAAGCTTTGTCATAACAGCCACAGTCAGACAGATCTCTCTGCAATTCTTACACTGATCCTTTTCCCCCTGCCCCAACATGAACACAAGACAGTCATCAGTATTCTTCCTTGCACATCTGGAATCTGCTGCTACAATATGAGCTTGTTGCCCTAATGGGGCATTTGCACATTACACATTGATCAAATGCTTAGCAAAAAAAACCCTCACTTCATGCAATTGCTGCTTTCTACCCTTCAGAGTGCTGTGGGTCTTCCTATGTATCTATATACTCAAATCAAGACATCTTCTGTTTAAGACAACAAACATCAACTGGGGATGAACACCTGCAGATAAGGACTACAGCTCTTTTAAATTTTACCCTGACTTCCTGCCATCATCTAGTCTGCTAGAGTCCTGAAAATAACCAGAAGTTTTAAAAGGCTGCTTTCAGCGTAGAAGCTGTAATTCATGTTTTGTATTCAGCACCTTAAAACTGCCTTTTGAGACAGGAACTTCAAACTTATCCTGTATTTTAAAGAAACTTCAAATGTCCAACTGCTGGATTGTGATTCATCTGATCACCAAGCATTAATTAAAAAAATCTTCAGATTGTTGAAGAAAACATTCTCTATGCAGCTGTTATGCTCCAGGAATAACTCGAGATTCTACTTCATGTAATTCAGATTCATTGCTCAGCATAAAGACTTCAAAAATAACAGACAGAAATTACAAGCATGCGCTCTATCTTCAGGTACATCTACCTTCCAATGACAGAACACCACCTGTTTCTCAGAGATGAACCTTTGGTAGTGGACTGTCAGGAAGACATAAGGGAAATTTTAATATATTTATAGTTTAGTTTCTAAAAAAAAAAATTATTAAATCCCAAGACCTGAAATTCAAACTTGTCAACAGCTAATAATGGAGAAACTGTACAAAAAAAAGTTATAATATTCCTATTTCTATAGATCTAGTAAAAAGCAGCACCTTATTAGATATTAGAGGAATTAAACCCACAGCACAAATTCACAGGAAACTACATCTTATTTCTTTTGCTGCTCACAAAACTACCTGTTCAATTTAGGGGAAAAAACTACCTTTGTCAGAACTGTGTCTTGTGTCTTCTAAAGCAAAGATTATTCATTCCTCAAGGTGAAAACTGTTCATGAAGAACTCTGCAGTAAAGCATGGAACTAGAATGAACAAAAAAACTGAACTAAAACATCAGCCATCTAACTTGCATCCCAGCCTAAGAGAAGAACTATTTTCAACTATGCTTCCTTACATGTAATTTATTATTCAGCCACTGTGTGCGCAAGATGTTCTTACCTATGTTATTTTTCAACTTTTCCACTGACTCAGACTTTCTAAGTCAATGGTTCTAACAAAAGTTATACAATGAAACATTTGTATTCTTAATGTAATTGTGAATTGTAATATTTATTGGGAATATTACAAAGTGCAATTTTGTTAGTATTTTACTGCTCCACAGATTCTGCAGCTGTAATAGATTTCCTTTTCCATGGGTTTCAGAAGAGTATAGAGACTAAGAAATTAAATAACTTCAGAACAGAATTTGAAAGAGACTGATCAGTGCTCAAAGCGAGAAGGATACTGTCTCCTTTAACAGATGGGAATGACCTCAAGAAACTTTCATTAAAACCAATATGTAAAATCAAGTATACAGCCAATCCTATCAACAAGAAGACTGTTGATAGTGAAAGAGAAGAGGCTTTATTTTCCCATTACTGAAAACTATTTTATGTAGTACAGCCCAGGTCTGATAGTGCCTTCTTTAATTTTTGCTGCCTGGTAGCTCCCAGTATGAGAATCTCTTTTTTATTGCTTTAAACTTTGCAATGCTTTGAAGAATTTTTAGTATACGGAAAACCACAAAAAAATCACAGTAGGGGAAAAGTACTCAAGAGACTGTGATAGACTTTTTCTTTGAGATCTCTTAGCTTCTCTCATCTTATTAGGAAATAACATCCTACTATTTTTAGGCCTTTTTTTCCCCCTAAAAATCAGTATTACAGTTGAGATTATGAGTCAGATTTTTGTAAACCACTTAGCAGTTAATAGACTTCTGCTTCCATGTCACTTCAAAGCCTCTGAAATTCCCATTCCATTTCAGTATTTAGGAGGGACAAGAAAATTTAGAAGAATGTCCTCACCAACAAGCATTAACATTACCAAGAACAAAAGAAACCGAAACTTCAAGCAAAAAACCCCAGGGAATAATAGCAGTGCAGAAGGAAAACAGTGTCTCAAAGACCTAATAGTACCGGCATCTCCTCTGCTACAGAAATGATATACTTTCAAATGATCCATAGGATGGGTTCTGTCCGCCCCCCGCCCCAACCAGCTCTCTGCAACTACAGACTGAGACTTGTGATTGTCCCTTGTAACTGTGGAGCACAGAAACATATGGTGAAGGAGAATTACTAATTCAGCTATCTTTATGTTTCCTTCCAACCTCTCTCCAACTTCCTGATCTCAACTCCAGCCCTCTCAAGCTACCTCACGAGTAGAGGCACATCTCCTTCCTAATCTGTGCTTTGAGCAAACGAATCCACCGCTACTCCCTGTCCATCCCCTCCCTGTGTCCTAAATGCACCCTAATCCTTACCGCAATGTCATGCCTCCCTCTGTGCTTATAGAAATCAATAATTTATTTAGTCAGCTGAAGCTGGTTACTTGTGAAACCAATCCATTAACTGCCATTCTGCAGAGTATTATATCTTGCAAAGAAAAGCTGTTCCAAAGACAATGACCGTCTCCTCTCCAGCCTTTGCATTCAACCATGTATTATTTTTCTTAAAGAAGTACATTAGCAATATGATTTCCAGAGCTGTGGCTAAATCTGGAATTAATATAGGCTAAGTGAAGTTGCCTTGCTGCAAGAGCAGCACACAGCAGAGTCCAAGTGCTGTGACACAGATCTCTTTGTTGCAGCAATGCCACAGCCAAGAGCAGGAACCTGAATGGGAGGCAATACCAATTCTCCTTCACAGCTATCTGCTGTGACAGCACACAAGGAAGATGCAACCATGGGACTGTTGCTACCTGAGTGGTCCACAGCCCATTCCGTGCACTGCAAAAAATGGGAGGAGATATCCACTTGACCAACTAACCAAGAACAAAATGCATGACCAGTAAAGATACTGACAAGTTGTACTTAGCAACTTCCAGGTGATACTTACACTTTTCCTGGATGATTGGGTCTGCAACCAATTTTTTTAGCTGGGAGATTTCAAAAATTTCTACATCAGATAATGTAAATACTTACCATGTAAATTAAACATCCAAGCCCAAGAAGGATTTCTAAATTTTACTGTCATTAGCTGCTTCCATATGGCATGGAGGCTTCAAATGTAAATTAATATATTTCAAGGAAAACATTTACAACAATATGATGATGTCACTGCACAGGTTATACAGGATTTGTCTTCCAAGTGTTCATTATAATTTAATTTATAATTTAAGAACATTGGCAAGTTTACTCTCCTATTTTTCAGCTGAGACAGTATATCAACAGGAAAAGTAAGATGCTGTATTTTAGCTTTTGGTGGCAATTTCTCATCCCAGAAATATTTCCCTTTTCTGACATTAAGAGTTTGCATACCGACTTCATCCTGGATCTCCTCTGCCACAGCAGGCACATTGTAGAGGAAGGAGAGAGACTGGTTCATGCGTTCATATATCACACGTAGATGTGTCATAACCTATGGAAATAGAAGTATTTTAAGGAGTGGAATACTACTGCTAATTTGACATTACTACAACTTTTATAGGCTATAGAGAGCAAGACAGATTTCATGGTGCTCTGTGTACTGAAACTGTCACATCCATAGCAAAATTCACTTGTCCTACAGCTGCTATAAAAATAGTTTTCTAGATGCTCTTCTATAGCGACTACCTGAAATCCCCTGGGAATGTAGTAATTTAAAGCAGGGGGTTGCATTTGCTGTGGGGCACAGCACGTACACAAGCAGCTATTGTGACAGAAATCCACAGCCTCGTTTATCCTTCAATAACATTTACATGTGCCCACAGCTGTAAGTTGCCACATAACACACAAACCAAGTGAGGTACAATGACTGCTGCATCAAAATATTTCATCTGTTTGTGTTTTTCTTTCCTTTATCCTAATACTGCAAAAAGACACAGCTTTCTCTGAAAAAAGCTTCACTTTTCTTGGTAAAACAGTTGAAAACAAAAGTATTTCCACCCAGAAGCATTACTATATTGTCTCATGTGATTACAACTCCATTGCCTCGGGTTCCTGCACACTGCTACAGGTTGAGTCATGACATCCCACAGCATATGCTCCCCCAAGGAACCCTCTGCAAGTATCACCTCTCTTCAGTAGAAAGGGAAACTGAGGTGCATCTTAGAAGACTGGCAGGGCAAAAGAGGAAAATGGCTGGCAGAGAGAAAATGGCTTGCAATTTAAATGAAAAAAAACAGGATGATTTCTCCAAATTGAAATACAGTATTTATGCTTTCAAACAAAATATTGTTTTCCATTTTCCACCAAAAAAGATCGCCCATCAGATCCTCCAGCCTACATTCCCCCAACCTTCTGACCAATTCAAGAAGCAAAGATACTGTAGAAATACTAATTCCTACAATGATACAGTAAGCAATACACTGCACTTCTTGTATCAGTTTCCATTCTTCGCCTGTGCTGCCACACAATCTGTAGTCTGGAAAATTTCACTGGTTTTTGTTATTAAATAATCCAGTGTTTTAGAAACTAAAAACTCATGTTAAGACACAAAACTACATGCTTTAATGTTTCAGATAGGGGAAAGACAACCATCACTGTAGAGGAGTGCTAGAAGTGTGCATTTCTAATTCTAGCAATTTCAAGGCAGCATGACCTCAATATAGAAGTCTGGATGGGATAGATGCTTGAGAAGTCTAATATGCAAATTGTGCCATTTAGGGAGGTATATAGTTTTGATTTGCCTTTTAGCGATGCCAGTCAGTTCAAAAACTGTGGCTGGAGCAGCACTTCCCATTGCATCCTGCAGAGGGAACAGTGGCTGATTCTGCAGATTACAGTACAGTTTCTTCACAGCTTATTCATTGTGCCTACAATTTTAATTACTGTTTTGAAAGCCAGCTACATCTTCAGTCTTTTTTTTTTTTTTTTTTGCTTTCTCACCCTCCATGATTTCCTAAGGCAACATAAAAGCTGTTCCAATACATACAAGTTGAGGACTGCAGTAACATTCAGCAGTTAAAATGCCACGAACTGCAGTGTCTATTTTAAAAAAAAACCATGTTGAGCGCATTGCAGTAATCACACTTACAGACATTACAAGTACCTCTGCAATGACTATAGCAAGGCTGGTTGCTGTCAGATGGCTACACCACTTCTGGTTCTGCCACTGCAGCTGAAGGAAGCACAACCATGTGCGGTCGCTATATCTATTACTGACATTTTGCCAGAGGTATTATTTACCAAAGCACTAATAAAGGCTCTGGTTATTAATGCTCTGGAGGGCTCCTCAGGAAATGCCCACGACCGACTCACAGTCTGGATAGACAGCTCTCCTCAGAAGACAAATTATACCCACCCTACTCCTACATTGCCTTGGCTCCTGACAGAAAGCATATTATTTTTTATTGCATGTAAAGCTGTCTACATAAAGGAGCCAGGTATTTTTTTAAAAAATAGGTTGACAGAAACTTCACAATGGGTATGAACAAACATGACCCATTAACCCTCGGTGGAGATTACCTGAGACCTGATTTGGGCAGCTTTCTTTGGGTCTACCATGCGGACATGTTCGAAGTGTTTGAGAGTATGCTGTCTGTCCTTCTGCTCAGCACGCACATACTTCTTCAGCATGTTGAATACATGACGAGGCTGCAGGGAAAAAACAGGGAAAAAAAATCAGTTTAGTTTAGAAGAACACGTTTTGGTAGCTTGCACTGGAGATGTATCCCAAAACAAAAGCACTTGGTCAGATGGTGTCCGCAGCTATCTTCTAAAAGCAGATCTGACTACTATAAGGAACATCCACTCA